TTACTCGGAAGGCTTCAGTAGAAGCCTTCACCAACTCCGGTGACTTCCGGCCGGGGACTTCGGTTGGCCGTATACGCCGTGAAGTTGTTTGCGGCCTGCCAGTAAACCCAAACCAGAAGAAGAAGTAGTTACGTCAGCGGCTTAATTTGCCTAATCCACCCCCAGGAACTTATTCCGGTGTGAACGCGATCTGTACTTAGTTCATGAGAACTAAAGAGTTCTCATGAACTAAGTTCTCATGAACCTTTGTGGGAAAAGTACTGCAGTGTGAAAGCGCCTCTTAAAATAAATTCCAAAATTAACACTGGTTTTAACTAAGAACAGTGTAACAGTGTAGCTACACTTTGCATTAACACAATTATTAATGTTTTATAGACTGAAGATAAAACACAACAAAAAACCACACAAAATAGACACAAACACAAAGAAAGACATTTATAAAAAAAAGGATGAGCAGCGGGAGAATTACCAATTGGGAGAACTTATTCTGTCTGTTTGTTGCCCCTATAGTTATAACATTGAACCATTCCTCTATCATGTATGATGCTATTGAAGATGTTCCTTTTACCCTGAAGGCTTTGCTATAAGAGAGTACATCAAAAAGTACGCAAACAAATCACAACCTTTTGTTGAGTGTTCCCGCACACACCCATACACTTCAGACTCTACAGCTCATTAGCTTTTAGTCTGTGTTAAGACAGAAGGACAGATGGAGGAGATCACTCAACTGCCACTTGATTCAATAATGAAATCATTCATTAACATCAATACATTGGAAGTAAGAGTAAGAAGTAATTACCATGACACAAACCATCTACAGCTCAAAGCATTAGTTAGTAACAGATGTGAAAACGACCCACTTAAATGAACAAAAGTCGCACACAGAAGTTACCTCTCCGAAAGTGTCTTCAGTCTATTTGCTAGCTCATAGTGTCCTATTGTGAACCAGAAAATCCTGAGTACCCCAAAGTGTTATGTTAGAAATGTATAGTACGGGCACCCAGCACATAGAAACGGCCGTATACCAACTTGCATATGTTGGGCAAATTGCAATATTAATATAAATTGCATTAATTAGCATTATTGGGCGATTTGGGCAATTCTGGAGTGGTTTTGGGGGTTATTGAGGATGCTGAATGCATTCTAAAAGATTAAACTGTAAAACTAAAAAGCTGTAAAGAGTTGGGTTGTTAGTTTTAAGTCCTGCCAATAGAGTTGTGCAGGAATGAATCCCAAAACACGAAAAAGCCCTCTCCGGCTATACCTGAGGTTGTGCAGAGCAGCCACTGCCAGCGTGCCGCTGAGCAGCAGCAGGGTGAGGATGTATGGGTACAGCAGCAGGGTGCCAGCCAGGCGCTCCAGAGTGTCGAAGGGCAGCAGGCCGAATGCCTCCTCACACAGGTACAGACTGGCATCAAAGTCCCTGAGACAGGGAAAGACGGACACATGATTAAAACGGGGGGTTGGTCTGGGAGTGAACTTTGCAGACCATTTACATGCACAAAAACCTTTAGAACACACTACAGGAAAGGGAAAAACGCCAAAAAAGCTTAGCAGGGACTCTTTAAACAAAACATTTATTATTTAGAGTTCCTACTTTTCTTCTATATATAATGCTAAAGTAAATATCTTTAGGTTTTGAACTGACAAGACAAGACATTAATGATATGGACTTGGACTTTAAGGAACTGGGATGGACATTTTTCATATTATACAGACAAAAGGATATAAATATGAATCTAGAAGCAGATTAAAGAAGCAGATTAATCAATAATCAAAATAATCAGAGTTGCAGCCCCAGTTGCTATCACATGAAGCAACAAATTCTGTGCAACTGATCGGAAAAAAATGGTAATTATAGAGCAAATGTTTCCATAATGAACTGGATCTATTATCTTCACATGCCATCAACGCGTGTTATTTCTCGTGCTTCTGGAGAACAGGTGTGCAGATAAGTTATTGAGGTGGGAATAGGGATAAGAAAATAAGATAGGAGTACAACAAAGGAATCAGCGAGTGAGAGAAGCAGGCAGAGGCAGAGGAGAAAGCCTCCTGAATAATTGAAGGGCCGGTTGCGTGGCGTTGGGATGAGAGCCGTGTTATCTGCCACCCAGGAGCAGCTACCCGCACTGCACACACACACTATCTGATCGATGGGAGGCCTGATGGCGTTACCCCGACATCTATTATTCACACACACTAACACTCTAGGTGCTACAATCCTGGTGCTTATTGAATAATACAGTCACCTTAGATCAAGTCAAGAGGTGTATGGGTGCAGACTGTGTGTGTGTGTGCACTTCTGAAATATGGATTCATCAGAATAAAGTGTGAGTGTGTTAGAGAGGAGAAGCATGGGAATGTACTGGTGTGTGTGTTTAGGCATCTACGAGTATGTGTTCATACCTCGTTGGCCCCAAGGCAAACTTTGACTTGATGAATTTAAAGATGTGTTCGTCTGATCTGAGCTGAAGTGCTTTCTGTAAACACACATAAACACACAGATATGGTCATCCTGTCAGGGCTAAAGATCAACACGCTGAGATGTACAAATAAGTTAAATAAACCATGCCAAGATCAAGCTTACGAGTTGGAGATACATGAGTAGGAGAGGAGGGCTGCAGGAGTGGGAGAGTGTAGTGGGGGGGTGGAGCAATATTGAGACAGCACATGGAGGAACAGAGGAACGGGAGAGGAGGGGTGTGAGAGGATGGAAGCCCTGGGAGGCAAGTCACCTATTTCCTAATCTGATTTAAATAGTTTTAATTTCATTATGACAATTACATTATATTGCATTAAATATCCAAAGCGACGTACGATAAGTGCATTCAACCAAGAAGATACACATTTAAAAAAAGCAAGAATCCTGCAAATACATTACCTTTCATTACACCAAATGATTGTAATAGGTGAAGGGGGTCATTTAATGTTTCCAAGGTTCTTGTCTCTTTTAGGCCACAAGAGGCATAGCACACCACTCTTTTGTGTTTTAAAAATCTGTAAAACATTTTGTTTCGATCAGACCTGGATCATGGATCGCAAACTTTTTTTTTCTGACTTTCCTCCCAGGGCTTCTGTAAAAGAAAAGCTGTGAGGAGCACCTTGGTCAGGTAGTTGATGGTGACGGTGAGGAGGAGGACCATGGCGCTGTGGAGGAGCAGTCTGCCCAGACGGACGAGAGGACTTCCTGTCTTTAGACCAGACTGCAGGAGCAGACAGCAACAACACATATACACTCACTGCAGCTGACAGACACATCTATACACACACACACACATCCTGTGTTAGAAACCACCATGTCTCAATTTATATTCATATTAAATGTGGACACATGGCTGACATATTATTATCCGATGAAGTACGCATTTCCTTTGCAGTTCATAATTGTTATTACTGACTGCTACTTAACTATCTTAGACGGTTACACCACAGATCATCTCTGTTATGTGGCTTAACACTTTTCTACTTATGTAGTAAGTAATTCAAGTAATAACCAGCTGCTTCTTCATTAATGAATATGTTCACTTTGCACTGTCCCTTTGCTGTAACAATGTACATTTCTCATTGTGGGATGAATAAAGGATTTCTGATTCGGACATTCTACAAAAATAATCAAATAAGCTGTTTATACATTTTAACCCAGAGGTGGGACATACATATTGATATATATCAAATTTGTCACATGGAATAGTACAAGTAACAATTCCAGTGAAAAAGACAATACACCAGTTCATATGCAACTTGTCATGTCTAAGAAACTTATAGTGAAAGTTTATTCTTTATGCTAGTTTTGTCATGTCCCTTTGTCCTGTGCTTTATGTTTATTCCCTTAATTAATTCTCCCTCTCATTTCAGGCCTCCACGCTCCCCGCCCCCTCCTGTCTCCTGCGTCCTTGATTATTTCCCCCGCCCTGATTGTTTCCACCTGTGTCCCCTTTACCTGTGTATATATTGTGTTAGCTCCCTCCTGTTCATTGTCAGTTCGTTGTCTCTCTATGACCTACGTTCCTGCTTACCTCACGGACTTCTCACGGATCTATGTTATTGATCACTCTTCTAGTTTTCCTCAAAAGAGTGTTTTTGTATTCCTTGTTTTCATTACTGTGCAAATCCCAGTAAAGTCTTTATTTTGAAACACTATCCGAGTCTGAGTTTTGAGTCGTGCAATTGAGTTCATGCCTCAGAGTTCACTCCTTGACACAACTTTAACAAAGGATTATTTAAAAGCAAACTGATGAGGTTTTTTTGTTGCAGCAACTAGAGTTGGAGTTTGAAAGCTTTATTTCAATCTGTATCTCATGTTTCAATCCCTTATTTTCAGTTTTCAACATTTGTAACAAAGGTTTAATAAATACAACTCAATGATTTCCTGTTTTTGTTGTTCTATGGTCCTGATTCAGAGTTGATGATATAAATAATGTAGGGATTCAGACAAGTGCCATTAACAAGGCAGCCGTGTTGGAGTAGAACTACAGACAGACATATCCCCTAGTGAGCCATCTCACAGAGTGATGCTTCTTTGATCTGACAGATGATGTTTGGCTGGATACACCAGCTTGAAAACTAACCAGACATCAGCCGAAAACTCACCCATACACAACCTCTAAAACAATGGCTTGTATTTATTTTCAAGATCATTTTCTTTTCATATCTTTGATAATTAACAATTCTCCAGCTGTCTTATTTCCACTTTCACCCTGTCAAATGAAATGGTTTTGTAATTGTTACTGTGATAAGATCTGATCTAACTAAATTACATTTATACCTGACAGGGAAATGTGTCTCCAGAATACGAATTCGTATTATCTTTTGCAAAATCAGACTTCATCACGGGCTTCTTCACGCCATGCGGCTTAATCTTCCATCTGTGTTTGTCTGGCTGCATATTTCCCTGTGTGACTTTGATACACTTACCAGTTTTTCATTCACAGATTTAGAACCTTATTCTCTGAACCACACACACACTAACCTGGCAGTGTCTGATGAAGAGTGCGGCTACGATGAAGCTCAGCACCAGTGATCCCAGGATCATGGAGTTACAGAACTGGAGGAGCCACACACTCAGCAGACTGCTCACCTGGACCAGGTACAGAGTGGTCACCTAGAGAACACACACACACACACACACACACACACAGTGCTGTGAAACATAAAGGTGCAATACACAGAATACAGAGCATTAGCAGCAAACACACTTCCTCTGTGTGTAGTAATCTGACCAGGGGCCTCATTTATAAACGTGGCGTATGCTCAAAAGATGGCGTACGCCAGTGTCTAAGCAATCTTTGCGATTTATAAAAAACAAACTTGACCCATCCGTACGCGGCACGCACAAAAACGGGAGAGACGAGAAACTGCCACACCGTTGGCAGAAGGAAGAATGGAGAGAAACATGTGAAAATAATACCATAAACAAAATGTTACCTCTCATTTATCATATATGAATAATTCGTTTTCAAACATTGATTAAAGCCAATCTTAAAATGATTTAACAAACGCCTTTTTGAGACTCCTCAGTGCACACAAAAACATAATAAATAAATACGGATATGTTATTTAAAACCACCTCGAATATGTTGTGTTAATGTTATGAAATGTTTTCTCATAAATGATGCGGTAAGCAGGAGGACAGAATTACTTTAAACTGACACCGTTTTGTATTTCTATAGGTTGTAGATACGAGCATGGTTTATACTATCATGTCTAATCGTGTTTTATGCCGATCGCCAAGACTTGATAAGTCGCTCGTAAAACACAGGAGGTATGGAAACTAAGAGCACCATATGTGGTAAATTGTACAGCTAATATAACACAACACATTAGTTTTATTTCCTTTAGCTGGTGGATAGAGTTGCTGCGGGGGGGTTGAGACGCAGTGGAGAAGCTGCGCACAGCTGATTGACAGCTGGAACATGAATTACAAAAGAAAACATTTAAATTCAGATCCAGTCGTCATGACTCCACTACGGAAGGATCCCCCGGACCCCGGACCACTTATTTATTTATTTTGGTGACGATCCGACCTCCATGCTGCTACTCTGGTTCAAACTGCATCCACCAAACAATATGATTGATCTCGACCTCTCCAAAAGAACCAAAATCTGACACGGTGTGAGATGTCTTTTTTAGCTGTTCTGTCCTCATTTCCTGCTATCTTCTTCATAAAGTCGCCCCGTATTAATATTCATTTTGACTGACTTTATGAAGAAGATAGCAGGAAATGAGGACAGAACAGCTAAAAAAGACATCTCACACCGTGTCAGATTTTGGTTCTTTTGGAGAGGTCGAGATCAATNAAGGAGAGGGAGAGTCCTCACCTGTGGGACTGAGAGAGATAACGTCAGCTCAGGGAGGTAAACTTTAGCCTAAGTTATCTCAGTGGGTTTGGTCATCTATGTAAACAAATATTTCCATCTATGTAATATTAGTTGAATAAAATAGGTTAAGAAATCCTTCCAATGTTTTTTGATTATTGAAATATATGTTTCATATGAGTGTTGAGAGCTGTATCCATAAATCTCTTAATGTTGCTCTCAAAGTGCACCAGATTGATCACTTTCCTCATCTATCCTGTCCGAAAAGCTGTCCAAATCAATCATTTCTCTCACACTAGTATCACTTTCCAAAGTCTCCACCATGTTTACAATCACAACTGGGTACATCTTGTGACGTCACAGCCACTATCATCTGCAACTTCCGTTAGGCTCAGACGGCAAAATTAATAATTCATTAATTAATTAATTATGAATTATTAAAAATTATTTTAGCCAATAACAGGCACAATGATATGTAAGGAATGAAACTGCCATTTCATTTTGGAGCAAAAAAATGCACTTCACTGGGTCTTTAAGGAATCGTTGAGCTAGCTAGCTAGCATACATTGTCACTATCTGCTAACGTTAGCTTTAGCCTTCTATTTCTAATAGTTTTTTTCATAGGCTATAAACAGAGGTGGTATAAGTATATATATATATTGTACTTGAGTAAAAGTAGAATCACTCAGATCTTGTAATAGAATAAAAGTAGAAGGACTCAGATCTTGTACTAGAGTAAAAGTAGAAGTACTCAGATCTTGTACTTGAGTAAAAGTAGATGTACTCAGGTCTTGTACTTGAGTAAAAGTAGAAGTACTCAGATCTTGTACTTGAGTAAAAGTAGAAGTACTCAGATCTTGTACTTGAGTAAAAGTAGAAGTACCAGAGTGTAGGAATACTCTGTTAGAGTAAAAGTCCTGTATTCAAAATGTTCCTCAAGTAAAAGTAGAAAAGTATTCTCATCAAAATATAGTGAAAGTAGCGACAG